CAGTGCCGCATCAGTTTGTTGAAAGATTTTAATTTGTGTTCCATCAATTCCCAGAGCCTACCTCTTTGCCAATGCCATCATTGAACCTTGGACTTCTTCATTGAATTTCATTGGCTGTTGATCACATGCTACCTCTTGAAATGGTTGGGCATTAACCATTTACATTTTTGGTACAGTGATTCTGTGTATTCCTTTATATTTTAGGGTGGTGAAGAGTACGGTGGACTGGATCTAGTAGGGTTGCTAAGACTTCATCTTCTACTCTGAGGGAGCTGAGAGCCATGGGAGGAGCTAGAGCAGAGGGAAGATACGACATGGACTTTGTTTTCACAGCATCACTTGGGCTGCTATATTGAGGAAATCCAGTATGGATAAAGGCAGAACTGGGGTGACTCACTTGTTATATGCTGTTGAGTTGTTTTGACTCATCGCGCCTCTTTTGGTTTTCGCGAGTTTTTTTTTTTGCAGGAGTAGAAAGCCTCATCTTTTGCCTACTGGTGTGCTCAAATAGTCGACCTTGTGGTTCACAGTCCAGTGCTTATCATACAGGGCTTCCTGGAGTGACTCCTAGGAAGCCTGTTGATTATGTTAATTCAGACGAGTGTGATCTGATTGTGGCTTACAGTATGTAGGAGCTGAAAAGGGTTTGAGCCCAGGATGTATTGTGAAGGCTTTTCTAACTGACTGTTGTTAAGTTCTGTGCAGTTGGTCCGACTCACAGTGGCCTTGTATAGGGTTTCTGAGGACTGGCAGGTGGGTTTGAACTGCTGAGTTTGCGGGTAGCAGTCCAGTGCTTATCCTACAGCACCACACTAGGTGAGACAAATCTAGATTGAATGGGTTCAAGGACAAGGATGTCTTCCTGCATATGTACTGAATTGAACTCATTTAGTAGCTTGTTATAGAATCCTGGTGTGGCACTGTTGGATAAATACTAGACTGTTAACCACAAGGTCAGTGCTTCAAACTCACCATCTGCTCTCCAGAAACCCTATACAGGGTTTCAATGAGTCAAGATCAACTCGATGGCACTTAACAGCAACAACAGGTAGCTGTGTAAGTTCTCCAAGAATGACTTAACTGGGCAGTCAGAGCAGACGGACTGAGGCCTCTTGGACTCAGAGATTTTGGAGAAGTTGTTCTGTTTTGTTGTTTGCTTTTATTTTGTGATTGTGGTCTGGGTGAAAGTTTACAGAGCACATTTGTTTCCTGTTCCATAATTTATACAGCTTTTGTTGCATGACATTAGTTCCAGTGCCCCTCAGTGTAACAGTGCTCTTCCCACCTCTCCATGGATTTCCATTTCCATTTGTCCTTCTCACCTTCTGAGCTCCTTTTCGGTCTCATATAAGTTGATTGATCTAAGGAGCAACATCAACACGAGACATCTGTGTTTATCCTCACTTTGCCCACAGGCCGGAGGGGGCTTTCAGCAATAAAAATCAGCTAGCACTCTTGCTTCAAACCTCCCAGTGAATCTTTGCACGTTTAGAATAAAATCTTGCCTGCGGGCCCCACAGGACCCTCTTGTCACTGCTTCAACTGACTGCCTCTTCTCTCTTGGGTGGTGTCATGGCTAAGTGCTTGGCTATTAACCTAAAGGTTGGCAATTCAAGACTACCGAGAAGCACCTCAGAAAAAAGGCATGGTGATCTGATTCTGAAAAATCGGCCACCTAAAACCCTATGTGTCTGCAGCCTCCTCGGTAGTGTACACAGGCTGTTGGCAGATATAGGCTACCCAAGGGAACCTGGAAGGAGCTCTGGTAGCCTACTGGCTACGAATCGGGCTGCGAACCACAAGGTCAGCAGTTCAAAACTACCAGCTGTTCCGTGGGAGAAAGATGAGGTGTTCTGCTCCCGTAAAGATTTACAGCCTTGGAAACCCTGTACAGGGTCGCTATGAGTCGGAACCGGCTCCACGGCACACAGCCACCACCTGGGGACCCTGGAGACAGCTCTTTCATGTCTCTGACCTTACCCTAATCTCTGCTGTCCCCAGCCTAGGCTCCAAATGAGGATGCGAGGGACCTTTGGAAACACCCAGGGCACTGTGGATAGGGTCCACGTTGGCCACATCATCATGTCCATCCACACCAAGCTTCAAAACAAGCAGCATGTCCTATGGCAGGGCCAAGTTCAAATTTGCTGGGCGTGGGCACCAGAAGATGCACATCTCTGAGAAATGGGACTTCACCAAGTTCAATGCTGATGAACTTGAAGCCGTGCCTCATCCCAGATGGCTGTGGAGTCAAATACATCCCTGGTTGTGGCCCATTGAATAAGTGGAGGGCCCTCCATTCATAAAGATATTGGTAGCACTGCCCCACCTGACCTGTGCCCATCAATCCATCAATAAATTCAACTTCCTGCCTCAAAAAAAACCCCAAAAAAAGCTAAAACAACGCTATGGAACACAGTTCTATTCAGACACACGTGGGGGCGCCATGAGTTGGCGTGAACTTGACTGCATCCCGTATTGCTTTCTCCAGTTCCTATTTCTGTAGCTTCCCTTTCTGTTGTCAGTTATGCTAACAACCTGGTGTGGATTAATGAGCTGGACTGCAAAGTTGGTTTGAATCTTGAGGTTGATGGTTCAAGTTCACCAGTGACTCCTCAGAAACTCTATACAGTGTCGCTATTGGTTGGAACAGACTTGATGGCCCTTAACAACAAGAGCAGTCTCCCTTCCCTTTCGTTGCCAGTATTCAGACATCTGCACTGTCGCACAGGCAAACCTGTGCCTGTTGTTTCTGTGTGTACAGGAGACTCCCAGGCGGGGTGAGAGGGGGGCTGACAATGATCACATGATGTATTGAACTGCGGAGGTGTGTGGCAGCTGGGCTGTGGGTGAGACACGCGTATCTTTTCAGATAAGGAGACTTTGAAAGGTGTTGATGCCAGCAATGCGCTCGTCCTTCCGGGAAAGAAGAAGAAGAAAACCAAAGCCCCTCCCCTGTCGAAGAAGCAGAAGAAACCTCTGACCAAGAAAGAGAAGAAAATGCTGCAGAAAATCTTAGAGCAGAAGGAAAAAAAGCGCCAGGTAGGTCCGCCCCGCCCCGCTCTCCCAGGGTGGGCACAGGGCTTTAAGAGGGGAGAGAGAGGTGAGGGTGCACTATGGAATGTCTTTCAGAGCAGTTTGTTGTTAAGTGCAGTGGGTTCTGGCTCATAGTGACCCTGTGTAGGGTTTCTTAGGAGCAGCTAGTGGGTCTGAACCACCAACTTTGTGGTTCCAACCAACCTTGTGGTCCAGTGCTGATCCTACAGCACCACATGAGGGCTCCAGAGCGGTCTAGAATTAAGGAAATGTTCTGTGTTTGCACCATCTGCAGCAGGTAGCCACATGTGGCTTCGGATGTGGCCAGCGTGACTGAAGAGTTGAATTTGTAAATGTTACTTAATTTCCATTCATATAAGCACTTGTATCCATTCCAGGGCCGCCAGAATGGACACACAGCTCTGGTGCCTTCTAACCCTCCCAGAGGACGCTGTTGGGTCCCAGCCAGTCTAGTCTGTGTCCTAGTGTGCTGAGGCCCTAATGGGAAATTCTTCCATCAGCACGCTTGAATTTTTAAGAAAAATAATGTTGTTAACAATACTCACAGCAGAATGTAACACCGATTGCTCACCAGTTTCTGCTGCACTGTTGAGTAACATTGACGATATTCTGAGACTTGAACACCCGTTCTTACCCTCTGGTTCTGAGTTCTCCCTCTCCCATTAATGTAAACTTGCTGCCTCTGAAAGTCCTCATCTAATCAGTCCCCATTTGCTGCTGTCAATTTGGTCATACTATTTGTTGTTGTTAAGTGTCAAGTCACATTCTGACTCATAGTGACCCTGTATAGGGTTTCCAAGAAGCAGCTGGTGAGCTTGACCCTCCGACCATGTGGTTTGCAGTCCAATGCATATCTTACAGTGCCACACCAAATCATATAGAAATCTTAAAAGAGCATGATGTTCAAGGCAGATATTTTTTACTAACTAAGCCTATGAAAACTTCAGGGCTATTTTTGGCTTAAGGTTTAAGTATCTTAAACTGTTTTTAAGGTCATTTTATATTATTTTTTTTTAACTTTTTGTTGTGAATTGAGTGAAGGATTACCAACAAGATCACCAGCTTTACATTCAACAAGTCAAGCACTTTGTTTCACCTCAATGATTGCATCTGCTCCATGGAACAACAATTACCCTAGTTTCTCCCTGTGGCTCTCCATTTACATTTTGAGAAGTCAGTCGCTTAACATAAAACACAGTAAATTTAGGGTTTTGTACGCTTATCCATCACCACTAACACAGCCACCTCAAGCTTACTGCTTCCTCAAGAACACTATAGCAGCGGAATTGTAACCGACTGTTGATTTTTTTAAATAATTTCCCATGTTAGCAGTGATGCAGCTTCTCTTCTGAAGAGCAGGTTGTAATGTGAAATGTGTTATGTGATGTCTCTTCCTCCAGAGAGCAGAGATGCTCAAGAAGCTGAGTGAAGTCCAGGTCTCCGATGCCGAGATGAAGCTCTTCTACACCACATCCAAGCTAGGCACCGGAGACCGCATGTACCACACCAAAGAGTGAGTCTGTGCACTTTCCTGGAGCCCCTTCCTCTAGCCCAGACTCCCAGGGAGAGCGCTCGTAGGACTCTGCTGTGGGCTGACAAGGAACGCTGGTGACACAGTGATTAAGTGCTTGGCAAGCCCACCAGCTGCTCCATGGGAGGAAAATGACGCCGTCTGCTTCCGTAAGGATTACTTCCAACACAGCCCTGGAAGCTTTACGATGCATTTCCACTGTCAGGTTGGGTCTTTGTTCGTTTGTTTCTAGAGTGATCTTTATATATATATTGTGGTTTGGGTGAAAGTTTGCAGCGCACATTAATTTTCCATTCAACAAGTCACACACATTTTGTTTCCTAACATTGCAGGCAACCCTCTCAATGTAACAGCACTCTTCCCTCTTCCTCCCTGTGTTCCCTGTTTCTGTTCATCCTTCTTTCCTGCCCCTTTGTGCCTTCTGAGCTTTTTTGGGGATTTTTGTTCTGATTGTACACAGAAGCACGTTCCTCGCAGGTGTTGTTCACTTGACAAGCCTGTCGGCTGTTTGGCAGGGGCTAGGTACTTGAGTTTTTCGGAATTAAACTCAACTCTATGGCAGTGCGTTTGGTCTGGGTTTCGGGTTGACGAGGAGCCTTGGTAGCACTGTGGTTAACTGCTTGGCTGTGAAGTAAAAGGTGTGAGGGTTAATCCACCAGCCGCTCTGGGAGGAAAAGACCTGCTGATTTCCTTCCAGAAAGGTGATAGCCCAGACAACCCTCTGGGGCAGCGCTGCCCATCCCATGGGGGCCACCCTGAGTCAGACTCGACGTGGGTTGATGGTGAAAATGCACCTGGGGCTGAAGTGTCTCTGGGGATTGTGCCTGTAGGTGCTGCTCGACCCCTACAGTACGCAGGCACTGGAGCTGCCTGCCCCGGCAACACCAGGGTTTGTCCACAGTACCAAGTTCTCCATTGCTCTTACGTCGATGACGAACCCAGACAAGGCAGTCTGGAGCTAGGACCAGATCTGTTTGATTTGAATAGAGTTACTAAGGTGCTCAGGTACTCCGCAGTATAACCACGGACAACAGGGTAACTCAGAACAACAGAAGTTTTCTCACGGTTCTGCAGACCACAAAAAAACAAGCCAAGGTCATTGCCATGGAGTTGATTCTGACTAGTAGGGACCCAAGAAGAACCGCCCCTCTGGTAGCATAGCGGTTACAAATCGGGCTGCTAACCTCAGGGTCAGCAGTTCGAAACTACCAGCTGTTCCGTGGAAGAAAGATGAGGCTTTCTGCTCCCATAAAGATTTGCAGCCTCGGAAACCCTGTGCAGGGTCACTATGGGTCAGAACTGACGCTACGGTACTTCACAACAACAACAGCAACAATTTTGATGACCACGACCACAGATGGCCTCATCTTCCTGTGGAGTGGTTGCTGGGTTCTAACCTCTGCGCCACAAGGCGTCAACAGATCCGGGTCCTTCTGGAGGTTTTCACGGAGACATCAGCCCATGCCTCTCTCCTAGTTCCTGGTGCTTGTTGGTGAATCCTTGGTGTTTCGCATTGTTGCAGTCTCTGTTCCTTTTAATCACTGGAGTTCTCGCGTCTTGTAAGGAAGTCGGTGGAGTTGCACCGTAATCCAGCATGGCTTCATGTTAAGAAAGTCACGTATGTAGGTTTTAGTAGGCGTAGATTTAAGGTTCAGGAGATGCTATTCAACCAGTATGGCTGGCTTTTAAGAAGCAGGAATTTTCGCTTTGAAGTCAGATTCCCCGCTCACCTGGGGCAGTTGGGTAGTCCAGCCATCCCAGGCTCACAGACAGCTGTCCTACAGTCGACCTTGGTTCATGTACGTTATCACTGGCTTGGTCCCTGTGAGCATTGTTACTTATTTAATGCCTCTTGTTGTGAGGGGCCATCGGTTGTCATTCGTAGCCACCCCATCACAGCAGAGCACAACACTGCCTGTTCTTGCACCATCCTCATAATTGTTGGAGCCACTGTGTCATTCCGCCTCATTTTTACCAACCCTCTACCGAGCACGATGCTCTTCCCCAGGGACTGGTCCCTTCTGATCTCAAGTCTAAAGTACACAAGACAGAGTCTCTCCACCCTCTCTTCTAAGGAACATGCTGGCTGTACTTCTTCCAAGACTGACTTGTTTGTTCTTTTGGCGGTCCGTAGTATATTTAATATTCTTTGCTAACTCCCTAACTCAAAGCTCTTTGGCCTTCTGTATTCATTGTCCAGCTTTTGCATGCATATGAGGCGATTGAAAATACCATGACTTGGGTCAGGTGCACCTTCGTCCACAGAGTGACAGCTTTGTTCTTGAATGTTTCACAGAGGTGTTTTGCAACCAGTTTACCTCATGCTGACTGCTGCTTTCGTAGGCGTTGATTGTGGATCCAAATAAAATGAAATCTTTGGTAACTTCCATCTTTTCTCTGCTCATCTTGATGTATTGGTCCAATTGTGAGGATTTTTGTTTTCTTTTTACTGTTTATGACTCCTACTAAGTGTAAGCTGTGTGTCCGAGGTGCCGGTGTAGGTGATGAAGATGGAGCAGTACACGTCCACAAGCCCTTCCTGTGAGGAGCATGAATTCTAGTGGTGGGAGAGGGGCAGGAATCAGAGACACCGTCTAGCACTGCTGAAAAGGCACTGGGGCAGGGAAAGAAGGATGGGTGGGCGTTGTGGGGTGCTTGGTCCACGCAGGTCTCTCTGATAAGGTGGTGTTGGAGCAGAGGCTGGGGTGAAGTGGAGAGAGTTAGCTGCAAGAAGTGTTTTGTTTGTCAGGCAAACAGAGCAGCAAGCGCAAAGAACCTGGGGCAGAAAGGGCTTTGGATTTGAGCCCTGGCCTTTGAAGAGCATGTGACCATCAGAACTGCTCCAGATGCCCACCTGGCCACACTGATACCTGTATACCTGATGCTGTCTTCCTTCCACAGGGAGCCTGACCAGGCAGTCCCCCAGGGTCCAGAGAAGATCAGCAGCCTCAGCGGGGCCCGCAGAAAGCGCTGCCGCCAGCAGTCAGAAGATGAAGAGTCGGAATCCTCTGAGGCATCAGTTGATGAGCAGGCTGAAAGGAGGACACCCACAGTGTGCCTTCCAACAGCTCTGCCAAAGAGCCCAGTGCCCAGCTGTCCACCCCCGCTGGCTGGACCTTCCACCGGTGCCTCTCCTGCTCCTCCAGCAGCCACCCCTACTCCAGCCAGGCCCTTGATGAAGCCCGCTGTCTTTGTTCCTGTGAACCGCACCCCTGACATGCAGGTCAGACACTCTGGTGACTCAAGTTACCATTGCCCTGTGAGGGAGGGGTCGCCTGGTGGCAGGATATAGCTCCTCACCTGTGTAAAAGGGGAGAATATCCGTACCTGCTTGCTTATACAGACACCTGTGGCACAGTGGTTAAAGCACTGAGCTATTGACCAAAAGATTGGTGGTTCAAACCCACAAGCTGTACCACGAGAGAAAGATGCAGTTGTCTCCTTCTGTCAAGACTTGGAAACCCGCTGGAGTGGTTCCCCTCTGCCTACAAGGTTGCTCTGGGTTGGATTTGACTTAACAGTGGTGGGCCAGCCACCTCCTTGTCTAAGATTGTACAGTGAAACCTCTCAGAGTCAGAACTCGATGGGCCCACCTTTTTTTTCCATGTTCTGAGAGTTTTTTGACCTTTTGCGGCATGTTGTTAAGGGTCGTTGACTCGGTTCTGACTCATAGTGACCTATCTAGGGTTTCCAGCGAACAGCTGGGAAATTTGAACCACCGACTCGGCGATTCCAACTACCATTGTCGTGCTTATCCCATAGCGCCACACCTTCACTGCTGCACAGCTGTAGTCCGTGCTTTACTGCCTCTCTCAGTTTAGTGGCGGGTACCACCGTTTGCCTTCTTTTGTGGCTTCTGGCCTGGCAGGTTTTACTGTACTGGATTTCACTCGGTGTGTTTACTGCCCGGTTGTTGTGGAGGCTGATGAGCAAACACAAGTGAGTGTGTGTTGGGAGGCACGGGGCCGTAGTCAGGGCTGCGGATGGCTGTGCTGGCAGCCTGTCCTCATCATCCAGGCCAGACCCAGATCATGGGTTATGGCCTCAGGAACCCGCAGTCCAGCCCTGGTTCTACCCCTGTGGGTTCCCTTCCTGAGCTGTGTTTTCCTTCATCTTTAAAATGGGGTTATTCTGTGGTGCTGTGGGTTAATGCACTGGACTGCAAGGTTGGCAGTTCAAGCCCACCAGCCGCTCCTTGGAAACCCTATACAGGGTCACTGTGAGTCAGAACCGACTTGACAGCACTTAATAACAACAACGTCTACCTGAAGTGCTGCCCTGCCCCCAACCCTCCTTATCTGGTAAAGCAGGGCCTCTCTTGAATTGTTGGAGCTGAGGAAGGACTTGGGGTATTAAGTATTTGGTCCACAGTCAGTGCAAGGAAGCCTGAGGGGGACTGTGGACATCAGTGGTCTGAGTGGGGTCCCTGGGGATATGTCCCCAACTGTCCTGTGGGGAACTCCCCAGTCCCCTGAGCACTGGCCACTTCTCCCCTACCAGGAAGAGCGACTGAAGCTACCAATTCTTGCAGAAGAGCAAGTGATCATGGAAGCTGTGGCCGAAAACCCCATTGTCATCGTGTGTGGAGAGACCGGCAGTGGCAAGACCACCCAGGTGCCCCAGTTCCTCTACGAAGCCGGCTATAGCAGGTAGGGGCTGGCCCGAGATCTGGGGGTGTGGGGAGGGGAGAGGCAGGTCAAAAGGATGAGTGACGTTGGAGACTGTCCCTTAGAGTTGTTATGAGCAGGAACTCCCAGGATCCCCTGGGGCAAACTGTTAGCCTCCATGTGCCTCAGTTTCCTCAACTGTGAAATGGGCTTCCTAATAGCAACTACTTCGTGGGTATTTAGTGAGGGGTCCTGTAAAATGCCTAGGGGTGTGTTCGTTGGTCTCGTCATTTGCATCCAATTATTTAGTTACTTTTAACTTGGTGAGTGGGGTCAAAATTTTCAGAACAATTGGTTTCTCTTCAACAGTTAATACGCGTTTTGTTTTGTGACATTGATTGAAATCCCCGCTTCCTCCCTGTGTTTCCCGTTTCCATTCGTCCTTCTCTCCTGTCCCTTCCTGCCTCCTGAGCTTTCTCCCTAGGTGAATGCTGCCCTTCTGATCTCTTGACAGTTAACTGTTCTAAGGAGTGCACACCTGTGTGTGCGCTGTTCCCTTGGAAGGCCCGTTGTTTGGAAGTGGAGTCACAAAATCAGACTGTATTTATTACAGCGGAAGGACACAAGCAAAATCGGCAGAGATTTTGGGGTGGTCAGGCGCAAGCTCCCACAGTCCTCTCCTCGTGGAGTCATTCTGACTCCTGGCAATGCCATGCCTGTTGGAGTGCTGTTTCTTAGGGGTTTCAAGGCTGTGCCCGTTCGCAAGCCCATCACCAAGCCTCCCTTCCAAGGTGCCTCTGGGTGGGTTCAAATCACCAACCTGTTTAGTAGCAGGTGGCTTAACTGTTTTTGTACCAAGGGACTCCCCCTTCTAATGAGCATGTGCTAGAATTTCCTGGTGTGGCACTTTAGGATGAATATTAGACTTCTAACTGCAGGGCTAAGGAGCTTTGGTAGCATAGTGGTTACGAATCGGGCTGCGAACCGGAAGGTCAGCAGTTCGAAACTACCAGCTGCTCCACGGGAGAAAGATGAGGCGATCTGCTCCCATAAAGATGTACAGCCTCAGAAACCCTATTCAGGGTCGCTATGGGTTGAAACCGACCCGACGGCACTTAACAACAACAACAACAGCTGCCGGGCTGGTGGCTCAATCCCACCAGCTGCACCTTGGAAACCCCGTACAGGATCACTGTGAGTCAGAACTGACTCTAAGGCACTTTACAACAACATCTGGTGTTCAGTATAAACCACTCATTTGTACAATCGACCCTGACTCACAGTGACCCTGTAGGATAGAGTAGGACTGACCCAGAGGGTGCCTTGGGCTGTAACTCTTTACAGAAGCAGACAGCCTCATCTTTCTCCCACGGAGTGGCTGGTGGGTTTGAACATTGGCCGGAGAGTTAGCAGTGGAGCAGTTAACCATTGTGCCACCAGGGAACCCTCCTGAAATCCGTTTTCCCAATAGGCAGGACTTTCTGAGAATGGCCTGCTGTGAGCACTTTCCTGCCCAGTCTGAAACCCCATAAGCTAGCCCCGGTAGTGGGGGTCTGTGGCTCGAACTCCCCTCAAGCATCATCCATAGCAGCAGCCATTGAACCAGGATGGCCAAACCCACCTCCCTCCCGCATTGGCACGCAGCTGCTCTGTTTTCCTGTGCAATGCTACATGCGAGCCCCCATGCCCCTGGGGATGTGATTGTCTGCTGAGCACGTTCCAGCCTGGAGCAGCCTGGGCCTGGGGACAGGTGCCAGAGATGGGGCAATGCTGACGCAGTCTTTGTCTTCATCCTCCCCCAGCGACGGCAGCATCATCGGGGTCACAGAGCCGCGCCGTGTGGCCGCCATGACCATGTCCCAGCGAGTGGCCAAGGAGATGAACTTGTCGCAGCGGTGAGGGCCCCTCCTTCCCAGGTGGGTGGGGAGGTCATGTGGCCCTGCCCAGGACAAAGCACAGAGCCGGGCCCTGGTCCCTCCAGAGTCAGAGGGTGGGGCAGAGCAGCCAGCAATCAAATTCAGGAATCTAATCCTGAGAAGTCATGTTGCCCTTTCTAAGTCATGGCTCCCCATATGTGTCGGAGTAGAACTCTGCTCCATAGGGCTTTTCAAGGGCCTATTTTCAGAAGTGGATTGCCAGGCCATTCTTCCAAGGTACCTGTGGATGGGCTCCGACCTGCAGCGTTTTGTTTAGCTCGTGAACCATTTGTACCGCAGGGACTCCCTCGTCACACCCACCACGTACAGACCCCCATATCCTGTTACTGTGCTTCTCCTTATTGTACTCTGCAGATGCTGCAGTTTACACAGATAGATTTCTGGCATATCTTGCTAAACTACCCACCTGTTGCCATGGAGTCTGATGACTCATAGGACCCTGCAGAACCGGGTCGGGGTGCTCCATGTGGTCCCTGAGAAGCCCAGAGATACATGTGGCTTGTTGTGTTGCAATATTAGCTTTATTGCAGTGATGTGGAACTGAACCTGCAAGGTCTCTGAGATCTGCCTGTAAATGTCAACTCCTGGGCGCTCTATGGCCCAGGATTAAATTCACACTCATGTCGGACTGCCCTGCTCCCAAGTCTTTTGCCACCTTCAGTGTCTCCCCTTCCCCTTCATGCTGGAGACCAAGGCTCTGGAGCCGGAGAGCCGGTGGGTTGCTGCGCCTTGTTGGGGACGCCAGCTGGCCCTGCTATCAGTCCCTCGTCTGCCAACCCAGTGTGAGCAAGGACTCTTCTGCTTATCCCACTTGAGTGGTCCCGGAACTTCATGGGGCTTCCTGCTCCAGGGGCTGCATGCTTGAGCCACAACCTTTCCACAGGGTTGTCTCTTATCAGATCCGATACGAAGGCAACGTGACTGAGGACACCAGAATCAAGTTCATGACAGACGGCGTGCTCCTCAAAGAAATCCAGAAGGTCAGTTTGTTTGTCCGGTCACCAGAACCAGGGTGCTGAGCGTGGGCGCAGGGAGGGAGGTCACCCTGATTTAGGGACGGGGAAGGAGGTCACCTTAATTTGAGGCAACTGTTGGCCAAGCGTTACATGCCACTTTGACACTGTATGACCTTGGGCACGTTTCTGAGCCTCTGTTTCTGACTGTAAGCTGGGCCTTCCTCTTAGAATTGTTGTGAAGCAGAAATTGTGGGATTTTGCACAGTGTTGGGTGCCAAACAAACCAAATCCGACCCGCTGCGGGCAAGTTGATTCCGACTCACTGTGACCCTGTGAGACAGAGTCTAATTGACCCCCGGGGTCTCTGAGACTGGATCTCTATAGGAGCAGCTGGTGGGACACAACCACCAACGTTTTGGTTAGCACCCAAACGCTTACCACGGCACTACCAGGGCTCTTTGGTACCAGGTAGATGCTGGTTAGATGGGAGGTCATAACCCTATACAGGGTTGCTATGAGTTGGAACCGAGTTGGTGCAACCGCAGATTGCATATTGGTACCGGTGACGTCTCCTGTAGTGGATCCGTGGGGGGATCAATCCAGCGGGGTGGAATGTGAGCTGTCTTAAGCGATGGCCCTGGTTCTGGGCCCTGAGATCAAACAGAGTTCAGCACATGATGCCACACACTCAGCTGCTGGCTCCTCGGGGTGCTCTGGCCTGCCTGAGGGAAGTTCCTGTGGAGTCTGAGCTTTCTGGAACCCTCGTCGGTCAGTTCCACTCGGGTAGCTCAAGTCACTCCCTAGAGTTCAGGTTGAGAGTCTCTGTCCAGTGAAGGCAGCCCCTCCCTCTGGGTGACATCCCTTGGGGCAGAGACTGGGGATGGGGGTTCCCACACCCTCCGCCTCTAGGGCTGGCCAGTCTTGAGTGTGACCTGGGCTCTGGATGCTCCTGTAAAGTTTACGCTACCTTTTTGTTTCGATCCAGTTTAGTTTGTTTGTTTTTAACTTGTCATTGTGATTGGTTGCAAGTTTACGGAGTACATTTGTCAACAGCACAATGTGATCTGGATTGCCTTGCCCACTCTTCCAACTTACCCTGTGTTTCCCGTGTGCCTTCCTCCTCCTTGCCTGGCCCTTCCTGCCCTCTTAGGTCTTGTATGGTTGGCTATTTGAGTAACACTCCCTGGTGTTACTGGTATCGTTTTGTTTGGCTGAAAGGTGAGCTGCCTATTTCCCTCATTTCTGTGCCCTCACCTGGCCCACACCCCATCACCTCCGTCAGGTAACCCAGCCCATAAGAGTAGCAGCTCACTGATTGGTAGCCTCCTGCTAGGTTCTTGTTACTCACTTTACAGGTGTTAGCCTTTGTCAATTTCTCACCATGAGGAGGCTGAGACATGGGGCAGGAAGTGGCTGGGTCAGGACTCCCTCCAAAAGCTGAGTGGCTTTGGGGTGTAACTGGCATCTGGGGGACTCCTGGAGGGGGAAATTCAGATCCAACTCACTGGGGGACACTTCCAGGAGATGACTGTCCCTGACTCCTCCCCAGGACTTCCTGCTGCAAAAATACAAGGTGGTGATCATCGACGAAGCCCACGAGAGGAGCGTGTATACTGACATTCTCATCGGACTCCTGTCCCGCATCGTAATCCTCCGGAAAAAGGTGACACGGGACCCCCAGGCCAGGGCTCCCACTGCCGTCGGGGCCCTGGCTCTCCTGGCCCGTGCACATCCCTCCCCCAGGCTGCTGCTATCAAAGTCCCCCTAGGACGTGGGTGTGCCAGTGCCAGGCCCCCACCCGAAGTATAAACAGTCCTGAGATTCCAGAGCACTGAGTCCAGCTTCATCCACATCTTTTCTTCCTCTTCCTCTTCATCTGAAACGAGAAGCCCAGCTTTAAAATGCTGCTGGCTGCTGGCCAGCTCTGAGGTTTCTTCCTAGAGCCGGACCTAACACCAACCTCACCCTCCAGGGCTGTGGAGCCCCCGCAACCCCACATCCCACCCCTCAAGCAGACAGAAGTCAGCCTCTGAGCCTAGCTCAGTCATGGGCTGCAGCGCCGAGGTGGGGAATCCATAGAACAGACTGCCTGGCCTCTGCATGCTGGCTAAGAAGGTGACACCCACACTGAAACCTAATTCTTAAAGTGCAAGTGTAGAGTATCTGTCAGACAGATTTCTGTCAGCTAAGTCTCTGCCCTCAGGAAGCTTCTGGTCTACTGAGGGCAGCGAGCAATAAGCTGGTGATGGACAGGGCACGGAGAAGGCTGGGTAGTGAGGGGACTGTGGAGAGGGCAGCACTTCATTAGGTGCTGAAGGCTGTAAGGGAGGGACAGGGTGGAGAGAGGGCAGAGCTAAGCAGTGCTGAGAACTGGAAGCAGCTGGTGCCGAGGTCCTGCAGCCGGAGTTCTGTCGTTGTAGTCTTTGTTAAAGTTTACAGAACAAATTCATTTTCCTTTTATAAAATTATAAATGATACAGTATTGTGTTTTTGGTGAAGGTGTGCACAGCGGTTTCGCCTCCAATCCAACCATTTCTTCAAGTTGCTTGATGACACCACGTACAGTCTTCATGTCATTCTCATTTTAGTTCCGTTTTTATTTACCTGGTTTCCCTGCCTGCCCCTCTGCATCCTCATCTTTGTTTCTAAAGTCATTGTTGACCATTTGGTCTCATAGACATGATGGTTTGTGTATGTGATTTGAGAGAAATTTGCAGAGCAGATTGGCTTTCCCGTCAGCAACCCCTCGCGTTTGGATTGCTGATGCTAACTGCAGTCTGCACCGAGTAACAATGGCTGTCTCTCTTCCCTCTTCTCCGTGTTTCCCATTTCTGGTCTTTTGGCTTTTTCTGCCCTCCCCTGCCTTCTGAGCTTTCTCCCTGGGCAAACGCTGAGGACTTTTGCTCTGATGGCTGATTTTGTGGGTGCTTTTTTTTTCTTTTAAAGGAGCATAGTTCTCACAGATGACGATCCTTTTATTTTTTTAAAAATGTGTTTTTAATATCTTGATTAACATATAATTCACATACCACACAGTCTACCCATTAAAATTGAGCAGTTTGATGGGTTTTCATCTACTCAGGATTGTGTGTTAAACATCAGTTCTACAACATTTACGTCGCTGCAAACCTGCACCTCTTACATGTTACCTGCCAGCTCAGGGCAACCACCAGCCTACCTTTTGTGATAATAGTCCCTTATAAGGATAGAGCACTTTTTAAAAAATCAGTTTCTTAGTTGATGGACATTTGAGTAATTTCCCCTTTTAGGCAATATTATGAATATTGCTGCTATGAACCGTTCACATTGCAAGTGTTCATGTGAACACACGTCTTTAGTTTTCTTGGATACGTACCCAGGAGTTGAAAGCTGGTTCTGTGGTAACTGCGTTTAGTCTTTTGAGGAAGTGCTAGGCTGTTTCCACAGTGACAGTGCGTTCTGCATCTGAACCCCGCAGCAGCACACAGGGGTTCCAGTTCCCAACACTTTCTGTTATATCTCTCTCTCTGATTTAGCCATCCTAGTGTGGGTGAAGTGAGGTGGGGAGTCCTGGGAGATAGAGTCAGGAAGGTACATGAGGTGGGTCCAGCTTGGAGGGTGGTCATTATGGGGAGTGTGACAGGCAGCTGGGGTCAGTGCTGTGTGTCTGATTTGGGCTTTGTTTTCACCAACACTGACCACTCTGTGGCTCTTGGGCTTGGGGCCTACTAGCAGTAATACAGCTGCTCCCAGGCTTGGGAATAGAGCCCAGTGTGCAATACTACTGAGGCCAACAGTGCTGCCAAGGGGTCAGGAATCAGGGAATCCACACTCGAGAATTCAGGCAGCTCCTACTGGAACCTTTGTGACAGATAATCCAACAAGCAGGATGAGGGGACAGTGCTGGGCAGACCCTTCTCTTCAGCATCCCTGCCTCACATTCCACCATTAGAGCATCACTCCTTTAGCAAGCCAACATCCCAGGAGAGGCAACCCTGCTACTGACTCCGTTTTTTCTAAGACGTCTTTGGTAACCAGAGATGGGAATAAGAGGTGTTTTGAGGGGTCCCAGGAGCGGAAGCAGCCTCCCTGCTCCCAGTTTTCCTCCAGACTGGCTGGGCCTCTGGGTGGCTGTGGGTCACCGAGCCTTTACCATCCACAGAAGCATCTTCCGCTGAAACTCCTCATCATGTCGGCCACACTGCGGGTGGAGGACTTTACCCAGAACCAGCGACTCTTCGCCACGCCGCCCCCAGTCATCAAGGTGAGGTTCAGACCAGCCATGGGAAGCCACAGAACGTGCCAGCCCTATCAGCTTGGACACAGTGAGGACTCTTACCCCCTGTGGCTTTGTCACATGGAAATCCAGCAAAGTCGTTAGAGACCAGTTATCCCCAAAGTGAGATGTTGGCATTGACTCAGAAAGATCAGTACGGGAAGGCCTCCTTTATCCCACATCCATGCACGCACCCCAATGCCTCTGGGACATCTTCCCCAGGTAGACTCCAGACAGTTCCCGGTGACAGTGCATTTTAACAAGCGGACCCCGCTGGAAGACTACAGTGGCGAGTGCTTCCGGAAGATCTGCAAGATCCACCGGATGCTGCCCGCAGGTGAGTCTCCTGACCTTCTCCATACCGCAGGGCCAGAAACCCAGGCTTGGAAAAGGCACTTGTCCTTGCTACGCCTGTTTCCCCACAGCTTTCACAGTGTCCACTGCACTGGCCAGCCTCCTATTGGAACGGCTGTGAGTCTTTTGTGATTCTCAGTGGGGGTGGTACTGCCTTCTGAGCACCGCAGATAAAGAGGATAATGCAGGCACCAAAAACCCACTGTCGAGATGACGTCTGCTCATAGTGACCTGACAGGGCACAGTAGGACTGTCTAGGGAAGCGACAGTGTGATCTCTCCCAAGGAAGTACACACGGCAGAACACAGTAACATTAATTACCTTCCATGCTTCCTTTCTGAGCTGTTTCCTCCACTGGCATACACTCACCGCCCTGAGCTTCCTGTCTGACCAGGGACGCTCACTTCGGGGCCCTTCACCTGCAGTTCCCTCTGGTTGGAACACTTCCCGCCGACTGCCTCAGCCCCTCTCTGGCTGTCTCCCACCCCTTCTCCCTCTCCTCAATGATACATCAAGACTGGTGAGAACAGCAGTCCTGATTGCTCTGAGGTGATCTTGGCAGTGGCGTTACAGTGTCACTATTGGTTGAATGGGAGAAAAGGTCTTGATGCTCTATTCTCCCCACAGGCGGCATCCTGGTGTTCTTAACGGGGCAGGCAGAGGTGCATGCGCTATGCCGCAGACTCAGGCGGACATTTCCCCGCACCAGACATGGGCCGCAAGGTGAGTCCAGCACCTGTTTCCCTGACAGGTTGTCCACTGTGGACCTCAGTCTCCCCTTTATCCTTTAGTAGCAGCTTTTGCCTGTTCCCCACCCCAGAATCAGTGGTCATCGTTGCAGTGTCTTTGCTTTGGACAAGGAAGGACAAAGTCCCCGGTGGCCTGGCTTCAGCCACAACCTATCATTTCCCTTACATCTCTTCACAGAAGAAGAAGATCAGAAGGACTCTGTGGAAGAAACACGGAAGTTTAAGAAGTCACGGGCAAGGGCCAAGAAAGCTCAGGCCGTGGTAGGTGGAATGTTTGTCGGGATCTCTGGGGGCTCTGGAGTGTTACTGCCCAGTGGGCTTGCCACTGGCCCTGTGAAGTGATTTCCATTGAAGTTTCAAATAAAACTGAGTAAAATTTAAAATTTACTTCCTCACTCACACTTAACACGTTTCAGGTACTTACGTCTATCAGTAGCTACTTTTGGTTATGTAGGTTTAATCGTGAGTTTGTTAAAATGGAATAAAATGAGAAATATCTATTATTGGCAAACGTGTAGACAAAGTACATTAGAGGTTACCACAGGAGAGTGATCAAGGGGGTTTCTGCTGAAGGGACTCAGCGTTTCTCTTGGCGTGGTTTGGAGGTTTTTAGAAACAATAGTGCTTATAGTAACGTCAGGTTGGTTGGGTGACACCCAGTGTCATGCCCCCCCATGGACCACACGGAATCTATAGTAAAGTTGATTATCAACTCTGATAAATACAATAATATATGATTCATACAACTGTAAGTTGCTTAAAAGTCGTATTTCTTAGATTTTATGAATACTTACAACAAAACTGTTTAAATCTTTCTTTGTTGAATTACAGACATTATTTGTTATTGTTACATGCCATTGAGTCTTAATGACCCTGTACCGGGTTTCCAAGGAGTGGCTGGTGGGTTTGAACTGCCGACCTTGTGGCACAAACTGACTTGGGGTCCAGTGTGTTATCCTGTAGTGCCACACCTTATTAGTCAGAAGCCTGTTTTATTTTTCTCCTTCTTTTCTTTTAATTGACTTGTTTACTTTCAAAAAGTTATTGCTGTTGGTTCACAAATACTAATTGCCACAATGTTGTAGCTAAAGCCCCAGAAATTTTGAAAAAAAGTCAAAATATAAAATAGCGTAGAGTTTGGCCTCGTAGGTATTACACACATATGCTGGGCTTGTGAAACATGTGACTGTTGTAACTACAGGGAATAGTTTGTTTAAATAACTAGTTTTCTGTTGAGGCATTTTATAGGCTGCCGCTGGGTGTCACTCAGAGCTGTCCCCGCAGCGCCCCTTACTGATCCCACTGGGTGGGTCCCAACACTGCAAAAGTAAGCACTCAACTGTACGACGCTTCAGATGGCTGCAAAGGCAGTTTTTTCAGTGATATGTCTTTACCATAATTTCTTTTTGAAAATAATAAAATTTTAAGTAAAATTAGCGTTGCCCTTCCTCGGCTACTTTAGGCATAATTTACGTGCTCTGTAGCCACGTGAGATGGTGACAGTCATGTGGGATAGCACACTTCAGAACATTCCCGTCCTGGAAGAGTTCATCTGCTGTAGAGCCTGCACGTTCCTGTCTGTTCTGTGGCCAAGGGGAAGCTTCTGGAAGGGCCCTCCTGGGAGAGGGGGGCAGAGCAGAGCAGGGGATCCCTCTCAGTGCTTGAAATGGAAGACTCAAAGGTGAACCATCCATTTCTGGAAGGAGAGGGGCCCATACTCAGAACCTCTCTGGGGTGATCTCATGGATCCTTGGACAATACTGGAATTAGTCAAAAAGTCACTAACCCTCCTGTTGGTTTTTGTTGACGTCAAGTTGATTTTGACTCGCGTCAGAGTAGAACTGTGCTCTGTAGGATTTTCAAGGCTATGCCTGCCCTTTCAGAAACAAATGGCTAGACCTGTCTTCCGAGGTACCTCTGAGTGGGTTTGAACTGCCAGCCTTTTAGCCAGCAGTCAAGCGCTTCCTGGTTTGCTGCTCCCATGGCCCTCTTTACTTCCTGTAGCACTTACTGGGTGGAAGCAGTGTTCCAAGCTCCTTATGTGTGTGAACGAGGAGCATCTTCCTCAGGGGAGCAATCCCATTGGTTAGCCCCAGTTTCCAGTTGAGAATGGCAAGACAGAAAGAAGTGGCCAGCCCCAGGGGTGTGGGACTGGGCTCTCTACATTGGTGTCTTTCTCTGCCCTAGACGTTGCCTCAGATTAACTTGGATAACTACTCAGTGTTGCCAGTGGACGAAGGTGATGAGGACAGGGAGGCAGAGATGGACGAGGAGGAGGAGGCCCTGGGCTCTGACCTGGATCTTGACTTGGGGGACGAGGGGGCAGATGAAGGTGAGCTCTCTTGGCAACGCTTTCTGTCCTCAGATTCACCAGTTCATCACTGCAGCAGGCACTGTCCTTGGCCCCAGGAACATAGCCTGGCTCCCCATTTGCTTTGTAACCAGTTGGCTCCTGTGTCCCTGAGAAGCTTCCGGGACAGAGTTGACCTGTTACTGCTGCCAAGTCAGTTTTGACTCACAGCAGCTCCGTGTGTGTCAGAACAGAACTCTGCTCCACAGGGTTTCCAGTGGCTGATTTTCAGAAGCAGATCACCAGGTTTTTTTTCCAAGGCCCCTCTGGGAGGACTCCATCCTCTAACCTTTTGACTAGCAGCTGACTGCACCAATCATGGGCACCTCCCAGGGGCCCCTGTATATTTTCTGTGGTATTTATAACGAGGTCATCGCCTAGAGCCCCCCTTTGCTGGGGTAACATGGGCTTGGGGTGGTGAGGCGGACTGACCCCTGAGGGTCCCATGCACATATCTAGGCTGGCATCCTGTCCAGCAGTGCCATGCGGAGCTGCCTTGGCACCACTGTGCTCGAGTGCGACACTGGGTTTCAACAGTGTCACAGTACCCGCAGGTTCAGGACTTGGCCTCACATGCAAGCGCCACACACTTGTCACACAGCAACCAATTCTGCTGCCAGGCTCAAAGATGGCCGACTGCACTGCTGTGGCTGCCTGTTGCTCTGTCCAGAGTCCTGCCTACAATCCACTGTCCCGTGTCAGGCTCCTGAAACACTCAGGTGCCAAGACTGTGACAGGACTTTTGGAGAACGACATTATTGGCAGGACTCTGTAGGGCAGTGTGCGTTCACAGTAGTGTGGGTCACCTGTCAGCTTTGAACACAACACGAGTGTTTGTCTCCTATGTGGGTCAGAATAGCAAAGGCTACAGCTTTGATTGCTTGCTTGTTTGTGTGTATGTGTGTGTAATGGGGGCGGGGTGTGCTGTGCTGGGGTCTGCATTGATTGATGTGGGGAGAGCGTGCCAGCATCTCCTAGCAGTCAGCTGTCCACTGAGATGTTGTCCACCTTCTGAGCGGGTCCTGAGGGTTGGGGGTCTGTCCTGGTGGTGGGTCCTCAGTGGCCTCTATTCTCTCCTCAGGTGAGCAGCCGGACACCTCCCTCCCGCTCCACGTGCTACCACTCTATTCCTTGCTGGCCCCCGAGAAACAAGCACAGGTGACCCATGGGGCGTGGGCAGGTGGGGTGCCCACCTAGTCTCAGAGCATGGGGTTAAACCCGGTTGTACCCCTTCTGCTCAGGGGGATGGTCAGGAGCGAGGCTCTGCAACCTGACCACAGGCTCAGCCTCCCTTGGGCACATTACGTCAGTGCTCTTGCCTCAGTTTACACACTACAATGAGGCTGACGATTGTTCCCCAAGCGTAGTTAGCAGCCATTATCATCACTGCTTTCATCGTTGTGTTTTTATGGACTTGGCAACATTTGATTTGGGATCCACACACTTAAACTTTCTGGTTTCTGGTTTTGGTGCTTGTTGTAAGACAGGACAGATAGAACAAAGCTAGAGGGTCTTCTCCTTCCCCCGGGAGTCACCAGAGTCCCCCAGACACACTCGCGTGGGTGTCTCACTCCTTACATGCTCAGCTGCAGAGCCCTTGAAGCCCTCACTGAGTCCCAGCCGGCAGGAGTTTTCCTTTGATCTGCCGAGTTTTATTTTTCAAGTGGATCCAATACTGACATGAGAAAATCAGGAAACTCCACAAAATACTGGATCTGTTGGCTGTTTTTTTGAGGGACCCCTGGTGGTGCAACAGTTAAAGAATTGGGCTGCTAGCAACAAGGTCATTGGCTCAAGGCCACCAGCCATTCGTTGGGAGAAAGACGAGGCAGTCTGCTCCTGTAAAGGTTTACAGCCTCGGAAACCCTATGGGGTAGCTCTACTCTGTCCTGCAGGGTGGGTGTGGGTCAGATTCACTCCACAGGGGTGGTGTTTTCTCGTGGGAGAAATGCAACCATCTGGCCCCCGGGTTCCCACATGCCCAGTGCAGCTCTGTGCTAGGCTGGATGGAGTGTGCCCTGTGCACCTTGCTCCCTTGCATATGTCACCTGCCTGCCCTGGCGAGTTTGCACCCCTGTGAGGCATTGTGTTGCGCCTCTCTAGGAAATACCTATGGGTGACCTTCTTGTTAAATGCTGAGCTCAGGTTTCTGAAGGTATGTTGAGACTTCCTCATTGGAGACTAGGAATAGCCTCCCTTGTGTTTCAGGGATGTTGTAACAGTAAATGTGGGGCGTGGGGACTTGTTGACCTGTGACCTCCCTGGTCCCCTGCTCCCATGGATTGCTCCCTGACTCTAGTGTCTTGTCACCACCTTAGGTCTTCCAGCCTCCCCCAGTGGGGACTCGGCTGTGTGTTGTAGCCACCAACGTGGCCGAGACCTCCCTCACCATCCCCGGCATCAAGTATGTGGTGGACTGTGGGAAGGTCAAGAAGCGCTACTATGACCGCGTCACTAGTGTGTCCTCCTTCCGCATCAGTTGGGTCTCCCAGGCGTCGGCTGATCAGCGGGCGGGCCGAGCTGGACGGACAGAACCCGGCCATTGCTACAGGTGTGTGGCCCTGAAGGCCAGCCCCTCAGGGAACTTCCCCACCTGCCTTCCCTTGGAGAGTCCAAGTTCTTCTGGAGACTTGCAGATACAGTTGAACTTGAACAACACAGTTTTGAACCATGCAGGTCCACTGACACACGGATCTAGTCCCTGTGTGAGCAGTTCTCCGTATACATACTACAGTAGAAGGACATCTCTCAGGGTTCTCGCTTAGTTTTCATTGTGTTTAGGGCAATCCCATAAACCTTGCATAGGCCATACAGGGTGCCGCTGGGGCTTCTGGATGTGCTCCCAAGACCCAGGAAAGTCGTGACACACAGTGCCTGAAGTCTGCAGCTGTACAAGCCCAAACCTGCTGCCATCAAGGTGATTCTGACTCAGAGACCCTACTGGACAGAGTAAACTGCCCAGTGGGTTTCCGAGACTGCCCATGTTTACAAACACCTCATTGGCGCTGTGGGTTAATGTGCCAGACTGCAAAGCCATTTGAACTGCAATGCAAGGTCAGTGGTTCAAGCTCACCAGCTGCTCCTTGGAAACTCTATACAGGGTCACTATGGGTCAGAATTGACTCAACGGCACTTAACAACATCTTTCACCCATGGAGCACCTGGTGGGTTCGTACCGTCATCTTTTTGGTTAGCTGCCCACTGGGCTATCACAGCTCCTTATCCACTGTGAGGAACCCTCTGCAAAAAAAACAAAGGAAATTCATGAAGCTGTCCTGCAGCTAAGCCAGCGGGTATGAAAACCTGGTGCTGTTTGAGTAATAACCTTGTTATCTGGAATTGAGAATCCAGCCTTTTCTGTGGCTGCAGTAATACACACAGCATACATGTTATCAGCATATGTGTTCTTGGTTAGGGTGCCCGCCAGCAGGAGTCTGTTAGTAGTTACGTTTTTGGGAGATCAGAAGTTAGTGGACCTTCAGCCCCCGTGTTGTTCAAGGGTTAACTGTACTTGCTTCATTTCCTTAACCTGCTCTGGAAGCCAGGCCTCCTTCTTGGCTGCTGTTTTATTGGTAGCTTTAGTGAGAGAAATTCACATACTGGACAGTCCGCCCTTGGAGAAGGTGCAGGTCATTGGCCTTTAGTATATTTGCAGTCGTGCAACCACCACCCTTACTTGAGAACATTTGCATCAGCCCACGAGAAAACGTCATATCCGATAGCAGCTACTCATTTCTCCTCATTCCCCAACCCCTTGGCAGCCACAAGTCTACTTTCTGTCTCTTCAGAGTTGTCTGCTCTGGACACATCATAGGAGTGGAATCTTAGAGGACAGTCTTTTGTGTCTGCTTTCTGTCATGAGCGGGGTGCTTTCGAGGTTCATTCATGTTGTAGCTTGTATCAGAACGTCATTCATTTTTATGGCCCAGTGAGATTCCATTAATGAGAGTTGAACTGCTGACCAATGTAGGTCAGTGGCTTGAACCCACCAGCCACTGTGATCCCATAGTTGTTGTTAGGTATCATCGAGTCAGTCCTGACTCATAGCGACATTATGCACAGCAGAACGAAACATTGCCTGGGCCAACCTCACAATTGTTGCCATGCTTGAGCGCATTGATGCTGCCACTTTGCCAATCCATCTCACTGGGGGTCTTCCTCTTTTTCTCTGACCCTCCACCTTACCAAACATGATATCCTTTTCCCACCTGACAGTAGTGGGTTAGTAGTCCATGGAGGAACAGAGCACGTTTAGTTTCTCCATTGACTCATTGGTGGGCAGTTGTACATGACGCTGCACTGAATGTTGGCACACACCCTGTGCTTACAGGCTGTTCTCATTGTCCACGCTGTACCCTCCAGGTTGTACTCATCTGCCGTTTTTGGTGACTTTGAGCCGTTCCCTCCTCCTGAAATCACCAGGAGGCCCGTTGAAGACTTGATCCTTCAGATGAAAGCCCTCAACATTGAGAAGGTCAGTCACCACCAGGTCTTCCTGTTGCTCCGCTGTGTTTCGCATTCCCTTTAAGAGTAGCCGCTCCATTCCAGCTGGTCTCCAGGCCTGGTCATCCACATGGCATTGCCTGCTCCCACCTCCCTGTGGTGTAGGGACCCTGGCGGTGCTTGCCCAGCAATGATGGCCTCTTGCAGGACGTTGTATCAGTGGGTGCCCCTGTGGGCTCTTGCTTCCTGTGAGCACCTGGCATCTGGGTACCTGGACCTTGAGGCCCCAGGACATTTTCCTTCAGTGTCCCTGGGATCTTACGGTGTTTGCTGCTGCCCTCTGTCTTCGAGATAGGAGAGTAACGTTCTAGCATGTCCACCATCCAGGGGGAGATACCTGCCCTGCTCTCGGAAGTTTCCTGCACCTTTCTGGGTGCTTTGGGCATCATATGGATCAGGCCCCACCCCCTAAGGTGGCCATCTCCATCCCCACGTAACAGATGAGGAAACTGAGACAAAGAAGTGAAGGTCTTTGTTCAGGAGCACACGCCAGTGGATGGAGAGAGTGGGATTAACTTCTGTTGATAGCAGATCAGTCCTGAAGGATTTCTCTGGAGGCCAACTTGTTACAGAGTCACGAGGCCCCTCCAGAGAGCCCCTGCCCCCCGCCTTCGGGCTGATTCCCCAGTGGTGTTTCCTAAACTCACTGCCTCCTGTGTCGTTACTGCCATGGGTTTCTGAAGGCATTCTGCCCCCTGTGTTGGACTTACGGTGTCTTGGGTGACAGTATGTGTTTACCACCTGGCCTGTCTTTCCTGTCATTGTTGGCTGCTGACTCTTGGCAACCCCATGCGGCATATGTGCAGAGTAGAACTGCTCCACGGGGTTTTCAGGAGCAGATCCCAAGTCTGTCTGCCCTTCAAGGCATCTCTGCATGAGCTCAGACCGCCAGCCTTTCAGCCAGTACTTGAGCACTAAGTTCCTCTTGGTACCACTCAGGGACCGCCTGTGTGGCCCTACCACTATTTTCATCCCCATTCTACAGACAGGGAAACTGAGGCACCAAGATGAGCCTGGGACTGATCTCAGTCTGACTCCAGGCAGCCATTTGTTTGTGGTTTTGCTGATATTTTCAGAGATAGTCTTACTCTTTCTACGAGCCAATCTGTTATTTAGCTCAAAGATGATCTCCGGGGATGGTTTTATTCAAGATGTAGTGACGTCTCTGGGCTATAGTCTCAGGGAGTCCTCCCATCTTAACTAGTCTGATAAGGCTCTTTCATTTTCATTTCTTTTTTTTTTTAAGGAATTTCAAGTTCCGGGTGTGCATTTTTCTCCCATTCTTTCAGGATCCATGTATTATGGCCCTGTTCAGAATGATCAGTATTTGTGATTGGACACCATTGAGTTCTTCCAGTCTCAGGGCAGATGAGACCGCCGTTTCGGGTGGATTTTTCCCTTTGGTTTCCTTCTCTCTCTTTTGCCCCAGATGAATAGAGGACAGTAGGTGTATCTTGTGTATGTGTAAGTGAGGGGGGGCCCTGGTAGCACTGTGGTAAGCACTCAGCTGCTAATCTAAAAGATCGGCAGTTTGACCCCACCAGCCATCCCGTGGAGAAGAGACCAGGAGATCCTCTTCCAGGAAGATGGCAGCCCAGGGACCCGATGGATCAGTTCCGGTCTGTCCTGCAGGAATGCTATGGCTGGACTCCGGGGCAGTGGGTTCAGTTTTCAGTGAGGGAGACAGCCTCGTGCAGTGGTTTCTCCTTGCTCTGGAGTAAAAAAATGTGGAGTTTGAGGCCCTGAGGCGCTGCCTGATCCTGCCTGACCTGACTTCACCTGCACCCAGCCCTCTACTCAGGCGGTCCCTGGGCATGTGTCTTTGCTGTCACTTCTGTGCCCACTGTCTCCTGTGTCCCCAGGTCGTCAACTTCCCCTTTCCGACTCCGCCCTCCGTGGAGGCCCTCATCGCCGCCGAGGAGCTGCTGATTGCACTGGGGGCCCTCCAGGCGCCCCAGAAATCAGAGAGGTGTGGCAGGGGCTGGCTAGGGAGGCTGGGGTGCCCTGTCAGCTCTGCTTCTAAAACCCGCCCCAGGATCCTGATCTCCGCCACCTCTGTTCTCCAGGATGAAGCAGCTGCAGAACTCACGGGTGAGCTGCCCCATCACCCCATTGGGCAGGACCATGGCCACATTTCCCGTGGCACCACGCTTTGCCAAGATGCTGGCGCTGAGCCGGCAGCACGGCTGCCTGCCCTACACCATTACTATCGTGGCGGCCATGACGGTTCGCGAGCTGTTCGAGGAGCTGGACAGGTGCGGTGCGGGGCTAGTCGGGAGAGTCAGGGCAGGACCAGCGCCTCTCTGTCCTCTCTGAGCTATTCGCTCGTGTCCAGTGGGGAGAATCAGGGCAGGACCAGCGCCTCTCTGTCCTCTTTGAGCTATTCACTCATGTCCACAGAGGGCGCTAGCCCCTCCCAGCAATCAACCTCTCCACATGAGGGATGGTGGGACTTTGGATTTGTGGAAAACTGGAGGGTCATTCATTCAGTAAAGGCCACTTTTAGGGAGGAACCAGAGGAAAACAGGAAAAGAGTAGTATCAGAAATGATTAAAACATGCTTATAAACGTGTATGTAGCAAGATTTAGATTACATGGTGATTACATGCTAGTTCCAGGAATGAGCAAGGACTTAGTAATTTCTCAATGAAATGCAGCTCCTCCTCCTCCGTATTCCATGTTTTAATGCAAATAACATGCACCTTAAACGTTCTTTACACACTCCCTTGGGTGTTTTCTATACCCATTGGTTATGTGGGTGCATTATTTATGGGGGTGAATTTTATTCAGAAATACAATCCGTGTGTTTTGTGGTTTGATCATGTGAAGGACCCCAGGATCGTTTTGAAAGCATCCTTGGTTTCTCCCAGGTTGGGTCTTTGTATATTGTGAATGTCCTTCTCCCCACAGAGGGAATTGGCCATGGGGAGTTCCTCTCCTGCCATATGAGAACACATGGCACCTCTTCATTTCTCATCGTAATGGTCATGAACTTGAGCCAAGCTTGAGAGTTGGCTTGTGTGGATTGGGGACCCCGCCTAGCTGTAGTCTCTCCATGGGCTGTCCTGGGTGATGACTGAGGATGGCCAGGCAGTAGCCATGTGGTGTGTGTTTGCAGACCAGCCGCCAGCAATGAGGAGCTCGCCATTCTGAAGGGCAAGCGGGCCCGCGTGGCCCAGATGAAGAGGACCTGGGCTGGCCATGGGGCCTCTCTCCTGCTTGGAGACCTCATGGTGCTTCTGGGTGCGTACTCAGCCAGGAGGTGGGGGGACGAGGGATAAGCTGGGACAGTGGGTAGTACAGGAGACTGATAGAGATGTGGTAGTATGGTCATAAAGACTAGGGTGGGTGCTAGCAAGCAGTCGCCTACCCCCTAATCAACTTACAGGTGCTGTGGGAGCCTGGGAGTTTGCGGGTGGCTCGCCCCAGTTCTGTGAAGCCAATGGGCTGCGGTATAAGGCTATGATGGAGATCCGGCGTCTGCGGGGCCAGCTGACCACCGCAGGTAGGTGTCCCGTGTATCTCCTGCATCCTGGCCAGCCGTGCACAGGGCTCCCCTTCCCTGGCATGTGAGGAGGAGTCTGGGCCAGTCTGTTGGGCTGTGCTGTGGGAGATTGGAAAATTCTGGCAGGTGTCGGAGGCTGAGTCCCCATAGATTCCTGCTTTCCCTGTGTCCTGTCCTGAGTGTGTATCTGCTTGCTCACTTCCCAGGCCTTGCCTTTCCTGTCTTCCTGTTTTCTAAATCTACCAAGAGTTTCATGGGAAGACAGAACAATGTGAGAAGTCCCTTTCTGCCCCAACCTCCTTCACTGGTCCTGCTCCCGTTGTCATCTTTATGTCACCTGCCCCTAAGAAGAAGCAGGGCCCAACATGATCTCCCCCAACGTGTAGGTCCTCCTCCCTGTGGCTCCGCGCCACATTCTGTATGAGGTTCAGTGAAGCAGACGACTTCCCTGCCAGTTAACGTCCCAGGGAAGGCAGGAGGGAGGACTGAGCTCCACTCTGCAGACCTCGTCCTTCCACTGGGGCTAAGAAGGGTGACACGAAGCCTGGTGGCACAGAGGATTAGGCAGCTCACTGAAGGGGCGGCAGCTTGAACCCATCCACCACTCTGAGGTAGAAAGATGAGTCAGTCTCCTTCTATAGAGACCTACAGCCTCAGAAACCCTAAGGAGCCGTCTTTCTGCCCTGTTGGGGTCAGTGTGAATCCATTGGAAATGACTTGCCGGCAGTGGGTTCGGGGTGCGGGTTACGTCCTTAGGTCTTGGAAATGGTTTCTGCTTGAATATTACCCTAAAGGTTTGTGGTTCAAACCTGCACCACAGATGAACGACTGGGGATCTTCTGTAAAGATGACAGCCAGGAACACCCATAAAGCACTGCTGCTCTGGAGCACATGGGTTCTCCACTAGCAGTACTGAGCTTCCAGAAGGTCCATGGCAGAGCTGGCCCAGGCCCCAGCCAAGGCAGCCAGTGCTCACCCCTGGCCACTCTTTCTCCCACAGTCAACGCAGTGTGTCCTGAGGCCGAGCTTTTTGTAGACCCCAAGATGCAGCCGCCTTCCGAGAGCCAGGTGACCTATCTACGGCAGATCGTGGCTGCCGGCCTGGGTGACCACCTGGCCCGCAGGGTCCAGAGCGAGGAGCTGCTCGAGGAGAAGTGGAGGAACGCCTACAAGGTGGCAGAGGGGCTCACTGACAGGACCCTCGGGGACCGGGGTGGGCAGGGCCTCCATAGCCATGTGCCCTCTAGGAAGTCCCTGGTGGGGAGGAGCCCTGGTGGCACAGGTCAAAGCATTTGACTGGGAACCAAAAGATCAGTGGTTTAACCCCACTCGATGCTCCTTGAGAGAAAGATGTAGCACCTTAGAAACACTGTGGGGCAGTCCTTCTCGGCTCTGTGTGAGTCAGAATTGACTGGAAGGCGGTGGTGGGGTGGAGCAGACATTCCAGGGTACCAGGGCACTGAGGGTTGTGTGTGTATCTCAGCACTCAGGACCCCCAGCCTAGTTCCTTCCTAACAGGTACCTGACTGAGACATCATTCACACACAATACAGTTAGCCCAGTGAAACGTGCACTACAGTTCAGTTATGTAGGCATCACCACCGTTAAGCCATCAAATCAGTTCCGACTCAGTGACCCTGCGTAGTGTTTCCAAGGAGCGGCTGGTGAGTTTGAACCTCAGACCCTGCAGTTAAAACTAACCTTGCAGTCCAGCACATTAACCCACAGCACCACACCAGGACTCCCCATCAATGTTGTTAAGTGCCGTCGAGTCTGTTCTGACCAATAGCGATCCTGTATAGGGTTTCCGAGGAGCAGCTGGTGAGCTTGAACTGCTGACCTTGCAGTTCAGACGGCTTTGTAGTCTGGCACATTAACCCACTGTGCCACACCATGACTCCCCCATCAACATGATGATGTGGTTTTTTTGTTTTGTTTTGTTTTTTTAAGGTTTTTATTGTGGATTGAGTGAAAGTTTACAGGGCAGATCATCAGTTTTACATTCAACAAATCATACACCTTATTTCATCACAATGATAAACAAAGGAAAAACCACTCAGGCATATATAACAATTTATACCACAAAATGGCACATTCTGCAAGTCTGCCTCCTGGCCACCAGCTCTTAGTCCCTCTCTTCCCATGAATCTAGAGTCCTCATCCACTCGCCCTCTCCATGTCCCTATCTTTCCCTCCGTTTCTGACCTCACTGCTTCTCTGGACAAGGTCCCGCATTCTGCTTGTGCTCTTCTCCCTTGATGGTCCTAGGGTCCTCTGTTTCTGGACTGTAAGATTAACCACTCCCTTGTTTTTGTTACAAAACTTCTACCTTTACAATTGTGACAGTCACAATTAGTCATAACAATTATTCACTATTGAATCATATGAATCTTATCCCCATCTCTTTTCACCAGACCCATCTAGACAAGATGACAGCTATTCAGTGGGGACTCTTTGTTCCCCCACACACTCTTAAACTAAACTCCCTCTTGAAACCTTGTAAACCAGTCACTTTGTGCCTTTATTGTCCCCTCATTTTAGGTAGCTAATGTCTAAGTTGCTTGTCCCTATCTACCGTGTGTACAGACGGGATAGCATTGATACTTCATGTAAAGACTCCTTCCCTCTCTGTTGGTATTTAGAGTTACTACCTCTATGAGTATAGGTCAGGTTCATCAAATTGTAGCGATTTACCCTTATTTCCTTTATCAAAAATTTTTTTTTTTTTTTGTAATCTTCCTCTAGTCAAGTTCTGATTATCAAGCCATCGAGGCTAGGTCAGATTGGTACTATCTACAAGTTTGGGTGTTCTTGTGTATCTCCCCTCAGTTCGTATCAGCTGGATGCGTCACTCTCAGCTGTAGTCCTCTGTAGCTATGTCCTTGTCCATGGGCTCAAGTGTCCCAAGGTCTCACCACGCTTTGGACCAACCAGCCCTTCCTCCTCTCTCTTTCATCTCCAGGTCAACGGGAGTCAATGGATTGTGGTTGAACTCAGCCCTTTTCTTCGTTGCTGCCTTTCCCCCTCTTCCACTCACCAGTAGACCAGTGTGGTCGCCAGCAAGCTTACATGGCTGTTCATGGGTTTCCTTTGAGTTTCAGTCTTAGAGGGTTGTTTGTCCTGAAGGAACTTGATTGCTTGCCTTGATGGCTTCCCGGCTTGCTTATTCTTGTAGTAGCCAGTCATGCTGACATTTTTGTTTTGGGTTTTTCTTATGCTTTTTCTTTGAAGATGTGTCTTCTGTTGCTCTAGCTGTTCCAGGCTGGTCTGCTTGTCCTTGCTGGTCAGACTGTCCCACTTCCTAAGGTTCTGGATGAGACTCAGGATTCCAGAGTAAGTTCCTATACTCTGCAAAGGTTTTGCAAGAGGCCTATTTCACTGGGCAAGTTCTAGAACCCTTTTTAGGTATTCCATTCAGTTATAGTTTGAAGATGGGCTTACAAGTTTTCTGTAATCGTGTTTCCCAACATTCCTTTCTATTCCACTCAAATGTCTATTTTACAATAGTAGGCAAGGGAAACCAGTATTCATAAGACAGTCAAGGATTTTAGTATTATTTACCCTCTTCAAACTATGCCTAGATCCTTGTATCACAGAGCCCTGTTGTTCCAAGGTTGAGCATGCATCACTATTTACCTCTGTCCAATTTAGGCCATGCAAACCTATCTCAATGTTCCCCTATCTTGTTCTTCCACCCCCTCCCTCTTTTTGTATTGCCCTCCTCAACACTTGAACTAAACCCTCCACTGCAACCCCACTGTTGTGGTTACCTTATATTCCATTAACTCTTCCCTCCATTTAAGACAGTCTATTTTATCCTGTAATCTACCTGACCTTCCCACCACCTGGATCTCTGTTCCTCTGTGTTTACCTTCTTTTACATTGTAATTGTTTTGATCATAGACTGACCTCCCAGATCCTCTGTTCTTACAGTTTTATTCTGTTCTTGACTCTTCCATTTGTTGATTGAGTTCACGGTAATGATGCCATGTATGTCATTCTCTGGTTGTTGTCTGTTCTTGTTGGCTTTCAGTCCACAGAACTTCCTTTAGGATGTTTTTCATAGCAGGGTTAGCTTTGGCAAAATCCATTAGCTTCTGTTTATCCTCTTTATTACACCTTTGTATTTGATTGACAGCTTTGCTGGGTAGAGGATTCTTGGGTGGCAGTTTTTTTCTTTCAGGGTTTTATATATGTCTCCCCATTGCCATTTTGCCTGCATGGTTTCTGTTGAGAGATCCAAGCTTAATCTGATTTGTTTGCCTTTGTATGTTATATTTCTCTTTTCCCTAGCTGCTTTCAGGATTCACTCCTTATCTTTGATTTTGGAGAGCTTGATTATTATATGTCTTGGTGATTTCTTTTAGGTTCTGTACTTCCTGGGGTTTGTTAAGCTTCTTGAATGCTTATCTTTTCACTTTTCAGGATGTTAGGAAAATTTTCTTCCAGAAGCTCTTTAACTATCTTTTCTGTGGACTTGTGTGATTGTTCCTGTTCTGGAATGCTGATAATTCTTATGTTATTCCTCTTCATGTTGTCCAACATGAACCTTAGGCCTTCTTCAGATTTTTTTATCCTTTTTCATATTTATTCTTCTATCTTAGTAGTGTTGAGAGATTTATCTTCTAGCTCACTAGTTCTGGCTTCTATCACTTCAGTTGTACTCCATTGCTCTTTCCGTGTATTGTACATTTCTGATACTCTTTTATTAATCATTTGGACCTCTTTCTGTTGGTTTTGAATTGTCTCCAATGCTGTATCTATCTCATTTGATTGTTCCTGTAGCGCTTTCCTGACTTCTTCCTTATTTTTCTCAACTCCATTGTAAATTGTTTTGATACATATTATAATCATTTTGTCCGATTTCCTTCTCAGGGATTTCCAAAGCCTGCCCATCTTCCAGTATGGAGTGTAGGTCTACTTCTAGCTCATTTGCCTCAGTCACTTTATCTCGTTTCTGGACATGTGCAGATATGGTCATCTGTTTCTGTTTTTTGGGCATAATTAGGAGTTATTTGTGGCCTTAATACTTAGATAGGTGTGTATTTGGTATTTTTTATGCTTTCTGATTGCCTCCAGGTAGATGTGATCAAGAGATGGGCTTCCCTTTTCACTCTTCTTCCTGAGAAATTTCAGGATGCCACTGATGTAACTCAGGATTTAATTTTTGGCCTATTTCCTTTTCGGTTTGCCTGTCCAGCTCCACAATCCCCGTTCAGGCCTTTTTCTAGTAATAAACCATTCAGGGCCAGCTGTGGCCCTTTGACATTTCCGTTCAGTTTTAAATGGAAACTGTCATTTTAAATTTCAAAGCGATCTGTGCACATGCATAGTAGCACCCTCTGGGGGTGGGGGTGGAGTGTTCACTCACTCAGGCCCTCTTTCTAGTCACCAGAATGGAGGTACACAGACAGTGAGAGACCCCTGAACAGATAACAAAAATCAAGAATGTCCACTCCTTTATCTCTGTGGTTCTGGTAGGCATCCATGTCTGCTCTGATCCTTCCCCAGCTCGATCTCTCCCAAGATGGCGGCTCAATTAGAAAGCACTGGATTTCTTGTTTCTGCTACAAATTCCCTCAACTGTAAGCCTTCCAACCTTCTAAATATTCCTTTATCTGCGGTTCAGAGTTCTGGGACCATCCCCTGAGCCTGCTTGGTCCGGTATTCTGTGTTGTTGCTGATGGAGCTCCTCACTGTATAGCTACCCATCCCGCCATTGGTTCGTTCTCAGGATGTGTCAATTTTTGTCATCCCTCTAAAAGAAGCTCCCGTGCCTGATAGCAGTCATTCCCCACTCTCCCCTCCCTGGGTCCGGCAGCCAACACTCTGCACCATTCATGCACTACATGGCCTCTTTCACTCATGAGCACGTCCCCAGAGCATTCACGTGGCGGCATGCATCCTTTCTCCACTGGATGGCACTGTGCGGTTCATTGGGCAGCTGACCACAGGATCGGTGGTTCAAACCCACTTGACGCTTCATGTTGAAAGGCTGTCTGTTCCCGTAAAGATATGCATCGGAGCGTCATCTGACTTCATGAAGAAGGAAAATCAAATCCCACACGAGTAACAGCTCAAAGCTGATCCCTAAGGTGGCTGAGTTCAGACTTGCCTCAGCCTTCTCTCCCAGATCGGACAGGAGCCATCCCTCCACAGCTGTCTCTGCTCTGCTGCAGTGGCCACACTGAACTCTGACACCAGGCACACAGTTAACGGGGCTACTACGGAAGCTGTCAGGTGGTGCCATCAAGTCGGTTCCGACTTGTTACACACAACAAAGAAACACTGTCTAGTCCTGTGCTGTCTTGACAATTGTTATGTGTGGGCCCACTGTTACTGTCATTACTGTTGATCCATATCCTTGGGGGTCTTTATCCCCATCATCCCTTTTATCTTCATTGTTACAGTATATATATAACAAAATATTGGCCATTTCAATCATTTTTGTTTTTTTAAAGCTTTTATTATAAATTGAGTGATAGTTCACATGGGAGAACATTGATTGTGTACTTCATCCTATCGTATTTCATTTCATTGCAAGGATTATAATCCATTCTATGCCTCAATCATTCAACAGTTTTTCCTGCTATTCCCTCTGGTTTTGGGGGGTTTTTGATGTACAGATTATAACCAGTTTTACTTGTACAATCAGACCCCACCGACCAGAGTGTTCCTCTTTTTCTCTGACCCTCTGTTTTTACCAAGCATGGTGCTTTTTCCCAGGGACTGGTCCCTCCTGATAACATGTCTGAGTGAACAGGGCAGAGTTGTTACACTGAGGACAGACAGCGTCTTCCCAGCATGGCTGTAGACAGGCCTTTCTCTGGGTCCTGGCCTCTCAGTGCTTCCTTTCCCTCCGGAGTTGCGCTGTGGCTTGGTCATTGGACTGCTAATCACCAGGTCGGCAGTTCAAACCCACCAACGCTTCATGGGAAAACCATGATGCTGTCTGCTACCACACAGATTGTCTTGGGAACTCTACATCGGGTCACTGCGTTGTGATCAACTCCAACAGGCAGGGCAGTTTTTTGTTGTTTGTCTACCCCCTGTTGGTAGGCTCCTCCTAGACCCCCATACACTCAACCATCTCTCTCTACAGACACCCCTCCTTGATGACCCCGTCTTCATCCACCCCAGTTCTGTCCTCTTTTGGGAGCTCCCCGAGTTTGTGGTCTACCAGGAAGTCGTGGAAACCACCAAGATGTACATGAAAGGTGTGAGACTGGGCCTGGCTTGGGCTGCCTGCCCATGTCCCTAGGGCTCCAGCGTGGACCTCCGGCCCCTAGCTGCTGGCCTGCTGTGACCCCACTTTCCCGCACCACAGGTGTCTCTGCTGTGGAGGTACAGTGGATCCCTGTGCTTCTGCCCCCTTATTGCCAGTTCGGCCCGCCCACTGATGAGCCGCCTCCCACCTACTGCCCTGAGACAGGACGCGTTCTATGTCACCGCGCCAGCGTGTTCTGTGAGTGGGGACCTTTCCAAGGCTGCAGCCCTTCTGCCAGCTGGCCCCTGGGGGGCATCACCTGTCCCTGTCCCTAGGAGGCGTTCTGTGCAGAGGGCTCATCCAGGCCTCCTACGTCTGACAGGAGATGATTAAGGGAATGTTGGGGTCCTCACTGGCTCCCACCCTCGCTCTAGATCGCGTCGGCTGGCCACTCCCCGAGGTGCAGGTGGACTTCCCTGAGGGCATCGACCGCTACAAACACTTCGCCCGGTTTCTACTGGAAGGGCAGGTAGGCAGCTAGGTGACCACACACACTCCCCTTGGCATTTCTCAGGGTCCAAGGTGGGAGGGCAGTGGATTTCTCACCCCTTCCTGTGGTCTCTCTAGGTCTTCCACAAGCTGGCTTCATACCAAAACTGCCTTCTGTCCCGTCCCTGCACGATGCTGAAGACGTGGGCCAGGTATAGCATGTTCTGACCACTCGACATCAGGCAGGGGGCAGAAAGGGCATCTGTAGGATTTGGGCCTGCCGCCACAAATCCCTGCCGAAACCATCAGGACAGTCAGGAAACCATCAGTTCAAAGTCAGGCTGTCGGTAGGGCCAAGCTCCCTCTGAAGGCGCTGGGGCGACTCCTTGCGTCTTCCCACTTCTGGGGAGCCAGGTGTTCTTGGCTTGTGACCACATCACTCCTGTCTCTGCCTCCTTCCCATGGCTCCCTCTTCTCTGTTCCTGTGTCTGAATCTTCCCCTGCTTTTTCTAAGAAGGATCTGTTCCGCTCTAGCACGGCCTTGCTCATCATTTAACTGATGGCATCTTTAAAGACCCGAATTCCAGATTAGGGCATGAGTTTTAGGGAACATTCTCCAGACCACCAAGGAGCCATGGTAGTACCGTGGGTTAAGCACAGGTCTGCTAACTGAAAAACCAGCAGTTCAAACGCACCAGCCTCTGTGAGAAAAAGATGTAGAAGACTTGTTTCATCTTCAGTTCCCAAGATGACAGCCTCGGAAACCCTATGGGGCAGTTCAGCTCTGTCCTCTAGGGTGACTTGTACAATGGGATTCATATGAATGTGATACAATCCTGTGTGTGATTTCTGTTACTATGAGGCCGTATCAGGGTGGTGGTGTTAAGTGCCGTCAAATCAGTTCTGATCCATAGCGATCCTGTATAGGGTTTCCAAGGAGCAGCTGGTGAGCCTGAACCGCCAACCTTGCAATTCAAACGGCTTTGCAGTCTTGTACGTTAACCCACAGTGCCACGCACCAGGACACCATATCAGGCTTGTAGGGGGTCTGTATATCCTTGTGTGGTATGAAAAGAACTGTTTGGCATAGAAGCAAGCCAGCAGGAAGCGAGGGAAAGGTGATGCCACATGGAGATCTCCAAGGTACCAAGACAAGGGTTTTCCCAGATCTGACAGCCTTCCTCGAATCCCTGACTCCCAGCCCTCTGCGCTCTTGGGGAGGACATTTCTGTCCTTGAAATCCACCCACTTGTGGGCTTTCTGTGGCATCATCCCAAGGACACTAAGGCAGAGTGGAAGTGGGGTTTAAACTACCCCAGCCCCTCACCACACCCAGCACAACTGAGAAGGGACCCCCAATACCTGCCCAGTAACGGCTCCAGCTGCCTATCTACACCTTGCCCTCTGCCCGGCAGGCTGCAGCCCAGGACAGAGACTCTCCTGAAGGCCCTTGTCGCTGAGAAAGCAGACTGCCGTGACGCCTTGCTGGCCGCTTGGAGGAGAACCCCCAAATGTGCGTTGGATGGGGTGGGATGTTACCAGCTGAGTTGTGGGCTGTGCACATGGGCAGCCGGGTGGGCGGGAGGGAGGACTGCCCTGTTCTCCAGCAGCCAAGGTTCCTGCCATCTCATTTGGAAAGCTCGCATTCAGAGCTGCTTCTGACATGCTTACACCCTCTCTCCCGCAGATCTTCTGGCAGAGTACTGTGAGTGGCTCCCACAAGCTCTGCACCCCGACGTGGAAAAAGCGTGGCCCCCTGCCTCTGACCGCTGATGGCACCTGGCTCCTCAGGAGACTGAAGGGCTGGCCGAGTGTCACCTGACCTCCCAGATCCTCCCAAGAGGCAGGACATGCCCCTGGAGACGCCCTTTCATCTCAGCCTGTTTGTGGACCAGACTGTTCCGGCTGGGATGTTGTCGTGACTGTTCATGACTCGATGGGTCGTTTTATTTCACATGCTGCTGTTCTGTGTTGAAATGTGCTCTCAGACCACATTCATTGCAGGACTGGGAGGAGGTTTATGAATAGGAAGGTGTCTGCTCAGAGCATCCTGGTTGGTTGTTTTCCCTGGAGGTAGACCACTGTCCCCCACAGTAGTAGTGGTGGGGTATTACCCCCATGCCTGTCACTGGCTTCAGGCAAGTGAATGACTCTGTTCAGACCTTGGGGGCCTGGCTTCCCCCCCCCCCCCAATCCTTCTCCTGTAAAAGCAGCCGAGTGGCCACCAAATCTCACTGTAGCCACAAGGACTGAGGCATTTGTCCTGTCTGCTCCTGACATGGCATGTCCTCATTTATTCCTGCCCTGTTAGCCTCAAGAGGGACCCTGACCCAGACCTTTCCCTGGTGGGAGCAGAGGAGGCCCCTGGGGGAGGACAGTGGACAAGTGGGCCCTCGCCGTCTCTCCTGCCCTCTGTGGTGAGGACCGGCCTGGAACAGAGAATGAAGAATTTTGATTTGGCAACGTTGATCTCCCCAGGTGGATTTATCCCACAGAATGGGTACAAAGACCTAGGTGGGCACGTGGCAGTGGTCGGATCTCTGTGCCTTGTAGTCCTGCTAAGGAACGCCTTGACCTCACCCCCAAAGTCTTTATCATGGTCCTGGTCGTCCATCCACCCCCACGCAAACTTCTTCACCCCTTATCATACCTCCTGTTCGTTCATGGGCAGCCCGTGGCCCAGAGCATCCTGCAGACCAATTTTGCTAAACCCACTCAGCAATGGAGGAAAGCTTTCATTCCTGCTAACAATTGGAACTGGGGTATTTACCAGCCAGAAATTCCAGGCTCACTAAAACGTTTGTGGAAGCCATTCTCCCAGGTACCACAGCATCCTCTGACTTCCAGCTTTTACTCAGTGGCCACACCAAGCTAGGCCAGCTGTCAACTGCTCGTTCCAGCTCACGTGACCCTATAGGGCAGCATAACCCTGCAGTGTTCTTATAGGGCAGAGTAATCCTACAGGGTTCCTGAAACTATAAATGTCGATGCCACCTCTCTCCTGCTGATGGGTTAGAACCGCTTACCTCTCTTGTTCGCACCCAAATCCTTCACCACCAGGGCTCATCAGCAACCACAGCAAAGAAAAAAAATAGGATCACGGGATGCTGTTGGGTGCTGCGAGTTGGTTCTGACTCACAGCACCCCTGTGTGGGGTTTCCAAGGAGCGGAAGTGGGTTTGAATCCCTGAACTTGCGGTTAGCTGTCTAGTACTTATCCTATAGCTCCATGCCAAGACTCTGGATCAGGGACCACTCTTAAAAATAGTGGTGGTGTGTCATGGAGTCAGTTCCAACCATGTATAGGGTTTCTGAGCAGCAGCTGATGAGCTTGAAATGCCAACCTTGCGGTTCAAACCAACTTGGTTGTTCAGTGGGGAAAATATACCATATAATTCACCATTTTAAAAAGCGTGCCTTAGTATTTGGAGTTGAACAGATATTTTGCTAATTCTTCAGTTTGCTTCATTCCCTACACCCTTAGTGTTACGTACTTTCGAGTTGTTTCCAACTCACATCTCCCGTGTAGGTACGCACAACAAACTGCCCAGTTCTGCCTCCCTCCGCCTCACAGTTGTTGCTCTGCGTAAACCCAGTGCCGCCGCTGTACCAATCCATTTCATTGGGGGATCTTCCTCCTCTGATCCTCCATTTTACCAAGTATGATGCCTTTCTCCACGCATTGGTCCCTTCTGATAGTACATCTGAAGTATGTGAGATGAAGTCTGGCCAATCTGGCTTCCAAGCAGTATTCTGGATATACTTAAAACACAGGTGTATTTGTTCTTTTTGGCAGTTGATGGTACTGTTTTTTTTTAAGGTTTTTATTGTGGATTGAGTGAAAGTTTTCAGGGCACATTATCGATTTCACATTCAACCATTCATATAGCTTGTTTCATTACATTGATTATAATCCCCTCCACATACCATCAGTTAACAGAGTTTCTCTCTATCCTCTTTAGCTTTTTTTTTTTTGGGGGGGGTGCGGAACTTTGCCTTTTTGGAATTTATAGTCTCGGCTTTTAGGGAAGGTTTTTACATTTATCTGTGGGTATCCAGGGCTCATGTATGGAATTACTAACCAGCATAACTGAATA